TTTAGAATGGTTGGAATCCTACGTTGACTCACGAATAGGAATATCATAGGTATACTAAAGGATATTATTTCAATTGGTATGAGATGTTTTGAAAAATCCAAAAGTGAAGTCATGAGAATTTATGGGTAGAGTGGATAATATCATACCATTGTAGAGATTACGTATTCCTATCTAATATTTTTATCTTAAGAAAAATAAAAATTTAAATAAATGACGAAATCCATCCCAGCCAATTTAATCTATATTTTATGTTTCGATTAAAAAAATTTACAAAACATTTGGCAAAATTATCACAAAAGACAAAATGGGAAAAACTTAAATTTAATTAAGGAAAATGACATGAAATAAACAAAGGCATAGAAATCTTAATCACAAAAATTTCAAATCTTTCTCATTCCAACGAAAGTAAGCAATTAAAAATAATTTCTTCACATTGAAACTAAAGAATTTAAAATTATTGATTGAACTTTCTTCATTCCAAGCATAACGAATAGTCATCGCAGCTACCTCTTTACTAATATTATCGTTGACACTCTTTTTTCTTTATTCAATATATATATTGCTGAAAGCTAGAAATATAGGAAGGAAGAAAACGACCGCTTAACTGTTCTTGAATAAAGAAAATAGATTGCAGCTCATCTCTATCCTAGAAGATTTATTTATGGGGGGCAAATAAAAAAATATTATTGATTAGCTTTTCTCTTAAGAAAACGAGCTTCTTTAATTTAATATCACTAGGATGAGAGATTCAACACCAGGAGGCAATACAAAATTGTATCGATAAGGCAAGGGATCGAAAGCAAAGGTATTAGCTGCATAATTCTTCCACACGAGAAGTATCGATGAGGTAAGCTCCTTGTTAATAAAGATATTCATTTAACCCGCAAGAAACCATTATGAATAAGTTGCAAAATTTCCGTTTAAAAGAGAAATGGAAGATAGAGTGAGAAGAAATTTTTTTATGTTGGCTAAATGAGACCGGGGATAGAGAGATTATGATCTCCGTCCTTATTCTGCCCTAAAAAGATTTGCTGATACCACCACATTTAAATGGTGGTAAAAGTTCTCTATTTATAATCATTTACACGATAGAAAATTATGATAAATTACAAATCTGATCAAAGAATAATAAAATAATAATAAATGAATACAAGATATTTGCATTTAATAAAAACACAAATATGTAAATGGTGATATAAAATATTTGCCTATAATAAACGGTCAAATATGATACATATGGTACACGGTAATTCAATGATAAATATCCTTAACACCTCTCCCGCAAGCTGAGCGTCGGATTTGAACGAACGTAAAATTTGGATACGAAAAATTTAAAGAGAGGTTAAGAAACACTTTTTTTGAAGATGTCAGCAACTTTGAAATGGAAAGTACATAATATGTGTTAAACGAAGGCCTCTGGTACCATATGATTAAACCACCACACCTATATTTATAATCATTTACAAAACAAAGAATTATGGTAAATTACAAATGATAGTGAAAGAACCATAAGAGAAGAATAATAAATGAATATCATATAAAAAGGCAAATAGGTAAGCCCTACGTAAGATGTTTGTCGGTAACAAACTGCTAAACTATATATATCGTAATTTAAGACTAAATATCGTTTAAGACACCCAACCATACATTTATTTTTTAATTCAAAAATGTGAAAAGGTGGACAAGGATGTGGATGATCTGTAGAATCAGTTTTTGAAAATGAGTATAAAGGTTGTAAGTGTAACAACCCAAGTCAAACGGTAATAAAGACTATAAATTTTGTAATCAATGTTTTCCAACTTCTATGGGTTCTTTTTCCAACTTTCTTGTCTTTTCTCTTAATCTCGAAGTTCGTGTTCGTGTTTGTGTTTGAACTTGTTGTTGACTGGCTATTGAAGTTTGTTGTTAAGATCCCTATATATCTCCCCATCCATTGTCTCTTTAATCTAAACAACTAGTCTTAGTCGATCTAAATCTCAAATTGGTCTAAAATATTCTCTAATCCGACTCAATTTAACTCGGGTATATTCTACATTTTCAAGCAAAGGTACTTAGCTCGCCTCTAATCCTCTTGATCATGTTGTTATTTGATATGGATGTGAGTGTTAAGAACTATTGTCTATTTTGAGCCTAATCTTTTAGGATTTTATTTTAGTTTTTTAAAAAGTTTCACGATAGTATCTCTTACTTATATATCTTAGATCTTTCCCTTAATTAGGCAAAGTGAGATTCCAATAATTCTCTTTTCGAACAAAGTACACCATTGGGTCTCTCTTAAAAAATCATCTGTCCTCTATCACTATTCTAAATATTTCTCTATTTGGAGAACATTGCTAGTCCAATAGGCTCACATAGAAACTTTCTATAACACCAATCCCGACAGGTACATAAACTTTATAAGTTTCTCTCTTTTTAACTTTAGACTACTTGAATTTTTTGAGGGCCTTAGAAATGATGGAAAAAAAAAAATCTTTCTCATTATTACAATGGATCAAAAATTGTGTCGAGTATATACTTCGCCTTTATTGTATTAAAACGCTGGCTTGTAAACACAAAAGTATTGTACGCACTCTACTTAAAAGATTAAATTAGTAATTACTGGAAGAATTCGGAAGAATTCTTTATCGAACAAGAACAAGTTCTTTCTTTGATCTTTCCAAGAGCTTCTTTCACTTTAAAGAGAATATACCGGGGAAATTTTGGTATTTGGAAATTATTTGCATCAATGGTTTGGCCAATCATGAATGATTGGAAGATGGCTACGAGGCTACACAAAATCATCCATCCAAAATGATTATGTGAAAGTTGTCAAGTCTCAAAGCAAGCAAGATTGTTTTTTCAAGCTCAAACTAGTTTCCGTATTGGGCGACCCTTGCAACTTGTGCATGCAGATTTATGTGACCCGATCACTACATTTTTAATTGCTAGTAAAAGTATTTTCTCTTATTTGCTAACAATTATAGCTATGTAGATGTACATACTCAAAGAAAAAAGTGACATTATGTGGATTCAAGAATTTTAAAAAATTTGTTAAAAACGGATTTGGTCACAAGCTAAAAATCATGTTCCGAGACCGAGGTACGAGTTTTTATCCAAGAACTTCTCAAAGTTTTGCAAAAAGGAAGGCATTAGAGCATCAACTCACCGCACTGTACACCCCACAACAAAGCAATATGGTTGAGCGAAGAAATCATACCATAATGAATACTCACAGAAGCTTACTCAAAAGCATGCTAGTCCAACGATTTTTTGGGGCAAGACAATACGACATACGAGTTATCTTCTAATTTACTTTTAGACAAAGGCATGGACACTCATACCCCTATCAAAGCATGGTTTGGTATGAAACCGTAGTTCGAGCATCGAAGAGTCTTCCGATGTACAGCATATACTAAGACTGCAAAACCATTTATTAAGAAGCTTGATTGAAAAACTACACTTTGGCGTAGAAAATGGGATCATGGCTCCCCGGTTGTATAATCCTCCACATGAAAAAAAAAATCATGTTAGCATAGATGTTGTATTCGAAGAAAAGAAGAAGTAGAATTGGTGTAGTGTTGGCGACAACAAACAAACTATTGCAAAGTTCATAACTCTAAAAGACGGGAGAAGTGGTAGACTTTGAAAGTGCACAGATACTAACAACAAAAAGTACATACATACAATCACCAATGACACTGAAAGTTGTGACGAATTCTTCAGAACAAGGGAGCTCACGCGAGAGCATAGATGGTGGACCAAAAAAATTGTGCTCTCTCTAAAATTTACATCTACAACAAATATGTGATTGCATTGATGAAGAATCTAATATTTCAAAGATGCAGTTAACACATCGACACTCACTTCCACTTCCTCATTTGTGAGTCAGAGAAACAATAGATTGTTGTGGAGTTTATATGCACTAGAGAGCAACGTGCGGATATTCTCACTAAGGCCCTAGCAAGGATTAAATTTACAAATATGAGAGAGTTGTTCAAAGTGAAAAATCTCAAGCAAAATCAAGCTTATAGAGAGATTGTGGATCAATAAGTTTGACTCGGTGTCTCAAGCAAACTCAAGTTGTTCTTTCTATCTTATCGATTGATTTTAGTTTGCTTCAATCAAGGCCCGAACAATGAGAATGCGTCAAATGTCATAATATTTAGGATTTATTTTATGTAATATTTTAATTGAAGTCTACTAAATAAATAAAAGCAATTATTAGTATCTTATAAGCCCCTGATCTCTTAACACCTGAAAAACAATTCATTAAGGTCAACTTAGGAAAGATAATGGATTCAGTTTCCTATATTATAATCTAAATTATGCTTCACGAGTTCACCATAATTTATTACAACACGTTTCCTTTTATCTCTCTTTAATTTTTTTTCTTTTTTTCCTCCAAGTCTTGGATTCTTCGACCAAATTATTAAAGGGGACAGGAAGCTTGGTGAGCTATGAACAATAAATGTTAGCAATGGAGGTGAAGAACTGGTTGGTGTTGATTGTTGCAGCCTTTGTGTTTGTTTTGGGGATTTTGAAGAGACTAAATGGTTGGTATTATGCGGCCAAGCTTGGGAAAACATGGCCTAAGCTTCCTCCTGGTCATATGGGTTGGCCTCTTCTTGGTTCTACCATATTGTTCCTCAAGAGTTTCAGCTCTGGTCAGCCAAGAAATTTCATTCGCAGCTTTTACATAAGGTCTCTTCTTCATCCCTTTGATTCAAAGCTTATGTTCAATATGTTCCAATAATATATTTCTTCATCATTTTGTTCAAAAATACTTTTATGAAAGTAATCTTTCATAAAAGTTCAAAAAGTACGATATTTGGAATCTATTTTTCATGTAAAGTCACTGTCACACACCGTTTTTTAGTCTCAATTTTCGTCAAACCCTCTAATATATTATTACTGTAAAGTTCAAGATCATTTTGTGTAATTTAGCATTCATTAACATGTAATAGCTATTTTGAAACCCAGGTTGGTTGGAGAGGGGAACAAAACATTTCTTACAAGGGTGTGGAAACCTCTCCCTAGTATACCGCGTTTTAAAATCGTGAGACTAACGTAACGGACTAAAGTGGACAATATGGTACAAGAGTCAGACAACGAGTGGTGTGCCAGCAAGTACACTAGGCTCATAAGGAAGGTGGATTGTGAGATCTCACATCCGTTGAAAAGGAGAAAAGAAGTGGAAATATCCCAAATCGGTTAGAGAAGGGTAAGGAAGTGGAAATATCCCTCATCAGTTGGAAAGGGGTAAGTAAGTGAAAATATCCACTTGAGCCTGATGGCGATACGTAACTTGCTAAAGCGGACAATATCTGCTAGCGGTGGGCTAGAGCCGTTACAGAAAATATCTCCGTAAATATAACAGGTCAAAGCAGACAATATCTACTAGCGGTGGGTAAGAGCCATTACCGAAATTGTTATGAATGTCAGCAAATTATCAATATGATTGATTATTAAGATATCGATCAAAATATTACGAGCTCGAATGATAACAATAGAGACACTATTTCGATATCTCTCATCGAACTTCTTTTCTTTTTTTACAGATATGGGAAATGTGATATGTACAAAACACACATACTTGGTAGAGCAACTATAATTGTTTGTACATCTGAACTTTGTCGTCAAGTTTTAGGTGATGAACACAACTTCAAACCTAGTTTTCCTGTAAGCATCAATAGGTTAACCGGTAGAAAGTCACTGATACAAGTGTTCAAGGCGGAGCACAAGCGCCTTCGGCGGCTGACGACGGCGCCGATCAGCGGCCACGCAGCGCTGAAGATGTACATCAATGGTATTGAACACACAGTGATGAGTGGTTTAGAGGAATGGGCAAGCATGAAGAACCCAATTGAGCTATTGTCAGAGATGAAGAAGCTGACCTTCAAAATAATTTGGAACATTTTCATGGGTTCTTCTTTGGAGTATTCCATTGATGAAATGGTGGTTTTGTTTTCTCAAGTTGCAATAGGCTTTATATCTTTACCCATCAACTCTCCTGGCTTCAACTTCCACCAATCACTCAAGGTAACTCCCTATCTTCTTGTTTGGCTGTTTTGCCTTTTATCTTTATTAGTCAATAATTGACCTGCATATAGAGTGGAGAGGAGAACGATACATTCTTTATAAGGATATAGAAACCTCTTCACAGCAGATGCATTTTAAAAAGATTTTGGAGAAGCCTGAAAAAAAAAGTCAAAGAAGACAATATCTAGTACTGGGTTTGGGCCATTACACCATAATAATTAACTTGTATCAAAATACGAAGTCAGACCATAGGGTAGAGATGCATTTCTTATATTCGTCTCCGCCTCCTATTTCAATTTTCATCTCCGTGAAATTCTTCATTTTTTTTTCAAGGATCTGGTTTCTCAAAACAATCTTCTTCTCATCTTTTATACTAAGAATATTGATTAAGTCATCCTAATAAATTTACTAATATTTCATGACAAAAATATAATATAATGTTCAATATAATATCTAGAAACTCAAATTTCAATATTACGACATAGTATTTCACACATAAATATATATAAAGTGGGCGGAGCGGAATTTGGCATACCATTCAAAACTTACCTGGTTAGAAATTTGTTAGACTGTTATTCATATCAACATCACAATCATTCCAAGCCCCAATTTTCATCCTAAAATTCTAATAGATTTCTCCTCATTTCTAAAAAAAATATATATATATATATTCAAGAGTAATATTACAACTTTTGAAAAAAATGTGAGTATGTGGTATTTTTGTAGTTTAACTTAAATTTTAGAATTGACAGAGAATTCGTTAAAAACGCTAATTGAATTAATAAATGTTCGTGTAAATTATAGCTTAGAACAATTGATTCCTTTTCTTTTCTTATATAGGCTAGAAAGAAGTTGCTCAACATACTTCAATCCATCATCAACCAAAAGAGACTGGCGAAGAACATGCAAGGAAAAAGTTGGGAAGCCAAAGATATGATGGATTTGCTTATGGACGTGAAAGATGAAGATGGTGAAGAGTTGGATGATGAAACCATTATAGATTTGATATTTGGTAACTTATTTGCAGGCCATGAAACTTCATCTATTACAGCAATGTGGGCTGTTTTGTTTCTTACAAAGCATCCACATGTTTTTCAAAGAGCCAAGGTTAGTACTAACGTTTAAAAGTTGCAATAATATCGTAAATTTTCAAAAACTTTCAATACAAGTTCGAAAATACTTTTTAATTTTAGTATTTTTACGGTTAGTACAGTGTTTTAAAATTATTCATGAACTTTCTAGAGTAACATTAAAATGGGTTAATGCTACTATTAAAATTTTATCATTTTTTTTAATATAGTATTAACCATATAAATATATTTGAATCGTTTAAAAAAAGTTGAAATATATTAATAAAATTCTTTGAATGTCGAGAAGCTCCATGTTAATATAAGAATAATGCTCTAAATATCATGTTAACATAAGAATGATGTTCTCTAATACTTATTAAGAATGATGCTTTCATTTTAAACATGATATTAGAGCATCATATTCTTAGCATGGTATCAATAACTTTTTTTTAAAAAAAGTACCATTTCTATCCAAAATTAATGGTGTATTTTTAAATTTTTTTTTAACGGTAAGAGTATTACTGAAATTTTTAAAAGTTTATAAATATTTTTGGAACCATGTACAAAATTTAAAGATATTTTTATTAATTTATCTACCTAAATTATTTAATAGTTGATTTTAATTTATATATGTTAGTATTTATTATATGATCCATTATTTATAAAATATATTTGTTTTAGGAAGAACAAGAACATATCGTGACACAAAGACCCACGACTCAAAAGGGTATAACTATCTCGAATATTAAACAGATGAAATTTCTTTATCAGGTATATTTTTAATATTTATTTTCCTTGAAATTGATTTAGAAAATTAAAATTGAGGAGGTATATATATATATATTACAAGAGTATTATTTTTCATATTTTAGGTCATAGATGAGACGCTTCGTGCTAGTGGAGTTACATTTATGGTTTTCCGTGAAGCATTAGCGGATGTCGAAATTAATGGTAAGTTATTAAATATACTTTTGAAGAAGAAATTATAATAATTTATTTTTAATAATATTGGGTTATGTTATTATTGTTTTTTATTTTATTTAGGTAAAATTATACCAAAGGGATGGAAAGTCATACCTTGGTTTGGAGAGCTTTTCACCGATGAAAAATATTTTCCTTCCCCACAAGAGTTCAACCCTTCAAGATGGGATGTATGTTTCTCAACCCTTTCTTTTCCAATCGAAGTTATTGGATTAATCACTTTTTTAATGCAATATGTGAGATATCATTATGCTAAACTTAGCTTAATTTAATAACTTCTCCTAATCATATTTTAAAAAGACTCCATCACTTGTGAGATTCCATATTGGTTGGAGAGGAAACAAAGCAATTTTATAAAATTCTGGAAACCTCTCTCTAGCCGCCTTAAAATCGTGAGGCTGACTATCAAAGCAGTCACCGTGATGTGTGTCAGCGAGTCCCCAAGGGGTGGTCTTGAGATGGTGAGATCCCACATTGATTGATGGATTGTGAGATTCCATATTGATTGAAGAGGGAACATAATATTTTTCATAAGATTTCTTAAAACCTTGAGGCTGCTAGCGAAGCACTTTAGGATGTGGTGGATTGTGAGCATTTTTTATAAGACTTCTTAAGATCGTGAGGTGGCTAGCGAAGCATTTTAGGGTGTGGTGGATTGTGAGCATTTCTTATAAGACTTCTTAAAACCGTGAGGCTCCTAACGAAACATTTCAAAGAGTAGTTGATTGTGAGATCCCACATTCATTAAAGAGGAAAATGAAACATTCATTGTAAGATTGTGAGATCCCACCTTGATCGAAGAGGGGAATGAAACATTCCTTATAAGACATTTTAAAGTCATGAGTCAGCTAGCAAAGTATTCCTTATGAGATTCTATATCGGCTAGCGGTGAACTTGAGTTATTATATAACCTTAAGAATTTAAGCCACCCATATTTAGATTGGATTATCAACTTAGAATTCAAACAAAAGATCATGAGTATACAAGGAACACTATATTCATTAGTACGAGATCTTTTAAGAATTTATGTTCAAAGTGGACAATATAATACCATTGTAGACGTTCGTTATTCCTATCATCCAACGAAACGTATAACGGTTTGCTATCCATTTCCTTTCCCCTTTGATTTAATGGCACATATTGAATGGAATTTTGGTTGTTGTTTGTAAAGAATTATGTAGCCACGCCAGGAGTATTCATCCCTTTTGGATCAGGAAGCAGGCATTGCCCCGGAAGTGATCTTGCCAAGTTCGAAGTCTCAATTTTTCTTCATTATTTTCTCCTCAATTACAAGTCAGTTTTCTCTTAACTTTTCATTAATTAATAGATTTAAACATGAACATTATCTTAATTACTACACAATTATTTTGTAATAATGCAGGGTTGAACTACTTAATCCAAATTGTAAGTTGACTTGCTTGCCATTTCCTCATCCCAAAGACAAAGGCTTGGCAAGAGTGTATAAAGTTGAATGAAAATATATATGATTCAACTATATTGTATATTTGTGATTGTAAAATAAATTGTAACAATTTATATGATTTGAACATTACTATATGAATGCTATGAAAAAAAAATTCTAAGCTTAATCAAGTAAATGTACGTAGAAGATAAAAAAAGTCGAATGGAAAATTTAAATCATAAAAATAAACTTTAAACTACGTAACAAAGGATTTTAAAATTTGAAAATCGAACTCTGACTAACTATTCGATGACTTTATTGCAAGTACATTCAATTGTTTAAAATGTCAAATACCAATGCTTATATATAAATATGCCTATGATTATTAGGGTTGTAGTAGGGAAAACCTTGTCTTGGATTGTAGTTTTTTTCTTTATACTCGAGATTTATATCACATTCATACACTTCAAAATATATAGTTTTGTGTGCATCACTTCATGCACACGAACCCATTATGTATAACACCAGAGTTCTGATGAGAATTAATTTTTCAATTTTTACCTATTATGTGATGTCTCACTTTGGTTGGGGAGAAAAACAAAACACCCTTTATAAGGGTATGGAAACCTCCCCTAGCAGATGCATTTTAAAGCCTTGAGGGGAAGCTCGAAAGAGAGCCCAAAGAGGACAATATCTGCTAGCGGTGGATCTGGATCATTACAAATGGTATTAGAGCCAGACACTGGACTATGTGCCAGCGAGGAGGTTGTTCCCCAAAGGGGGTAAACACGAGAAGGTGTGTCAATAAGGACGCTGGGCCCAAAAGGGGGGTGGATTAGGCGGGGTCCCACATCAAAAGGAAATAGTGCTAGCAAGGACGCTGGACCGAAGGGGGGTGGATTTTGATGTCCTGGTTGGGAGGAGAACAAAACACTCTTTATAAGGGTATAGAAACCTCTCCGTGGGGGTCACATATCAATTGGAGAAAGGAAAGGGTGCCAGTGAGGATGCTGGGCCCGAAGGGGGGGGGGGGGNGGGGGGGGGGGGGGGGGGGTGTATTGTGATGTCCTACATTAGAAACCTCCCGCGGGGGTCCCACATCAATTGGAGAAAGGAAAGAGTGCTAGAGAGGACGCTGGGCCCGAAGGGTGGTGGATTGTGATGTCCCACATTGGTTGGGAGGAGAACAAAACACTCTTTATAAGGGTATAGAAACCTACCTTTAAAGCTTTGAGGGGAAACCCAAAAAGTAGACTTCAAGATGGTGTAGAAGAGAAAAATACTTAGAAATTTTCAAAAACTCGAGAAAAATATAAAAGAAAGTAGTGAGAAATTGGGAAAAGTTGTCGAGGGGAAAAATGGTCATTTTGGCCCTCTTGCTTAATTTGGGATCTAGATTAGCTCTAAAGCATAAAGCTAGTGAGGGAGAAAAAGTGTCATGACCCGATTTTTAAGGCTTTGCTAGCACATATTGTCTGTTTTGCTTTGTCCTATGGTTGTCAATCTCAATGTTTTTAAAATGGCTAAGTAGAGGTTTCCAAACACTTGTACAAAATCCTTCGTTCTCCTCTTCAATCGATGTGGGACCCCAATCCAATTTATCTCACTTCAAACCCAGCATCTTCGCTGGCACTCCGCCTCATGTCTACCCCCTTCGAGGCTTAGTCTCCTCATTGGCACTCCGCCTCTTGTCTACTCCCCTTCGAGGCTCATTCTGCTTGTTGGCACATCATTCAATGTCTAGTTTTGATACTATTTGTAACGACCAAGCTCATTGCTAGTAAATATTGTTCTTTTGAGTTTTTTCTTTCAAGCTTCCACTCAAGGAGTAGAATCAAAATAAGTTGCTAGCTATCAAGATAAAGCAACTATTGTTCATGGAACCCGACAAGGTTGAACCTTCATTCAAAACTAGAAGCTTTCAATTGGAACGTAAGTAAAGTGTTAAGAATGAGATAGAAAATAGAATTGAGAAGACATATATTATTATTGATATTGATATCCTTTAAATAGGATACAAGAAGTACAAATGAGGAAAATAAAAATAATTAAATACTGATAATAAAATAAAATATACTCCAAATCAAATCATAAATAGAAGAATATTAAGATAATATTTAAGATATATTCCATAAATAATATATATCAATCGAAAGCCTTCCGTTGAAGAAAAAAAAAATTGAAAATATGACCAAAGACCTAAAAAAATATATAAACAAACTAGTCTAATTTTTTTTTATAAAATAATTCAAAGTAGCCTTGAAGGAGAGAGGAAAAGAAAAGAAAAAGATCGTAGGTTCCTAGATCCGGTCACTTATAAGCATTTTCCAGTCGAAAGTTCTTCACGAAAGTTGCTCGTAACCTCGTGGAGTATCAGTATGGGCTCTTGAATCATTCAAATCAATCAATAAATGAGAGAGATATGAAGGTAAAAGATCGGGAGAGAAACCAATTGAAAGTCAAAGTTCCTATCAATGCTCGAGAATAGTAAATATCGAGATATCTAAACCTTTCTAAAACATTCTTTAAATATCTCGATATTCTACATAATTCTAAAAGTTCTATTAACTTATAAACTTATAGATAATTTGCCTAAACAATTATTGTGTTTGACCCTATTTTGATGCAATCCATTGAGAATACAGTTCTTCATACTAATATATAGCTAATTGAAGCAAACAAGGTAATTGTAGCAAAGACAACAAGAAAATCACTAATCTCCGTGATTCCGATTCAGTAAGGGAAGCAGTTTAAATAACAAAAACGAACTTACTCGAGTTTAGATACTAATTCGTTCTAAAATTAAATGTAATAACAATTGCCAAAATTTAGTGAGGTGGAACGGAGAATATATTCTCCTTCTCCATTTAGTCGTCGACAAATTTTTTTTTTAAAATTTTGTTTAATTCTTTACCATTCTCTACGTAAACCTAAATGTCGTTAAATGGACATTTCTATTTATACTGTATTTTTATTTAATTTGGCTGTTAGATGGAAATATCTCATAATAGAAGGAATTTCTCGACAAGGGTATATATGTCCATAAAAATTTAAAGTACGATCACATTTAGTCGTTTTACAAAAGAAACCCCACATTTTGGCTTATTTATCTAAAAGGCTATTTTAGTTTAGCAATTTGTGCACAAATAAAGGGTATATTTGATAATATAAAAAAACATTAACAAGAATAAGAAAATGACAAAAATGAAATGAAGAATAAGCCAACTATTTTTTCTATTTTTCATAATTAATTATAGAAAACAAATTGTGGAATACTGATAAAAGATCACGTGTAATGGTCAGTTTTTTTCTTAAAAAAAATAAACGCAATCGCCTGAAGCCTCGAGGATTCTGGTAAGGCGAATGAGGGAATGTTACATACATACGACAAGAACGAAGCTACGAGCCAAACATATTCATGGTAAGATGTTTACACTCCCAAGGTCTTAAGTTCTTATGCCACCGTCAGAACTTGAGTTCCAATTTTCGAAGACATCCATGAATCTGTGTTTATATGTACATTTGGAGGCATAACACACCGTGAAAATGAAGGGAACAAAGAATAGATAGTCACGAGAGTCAAAGGAGCGACGAAAAAGATGCGGTGAAGAGAGATTTAAAAAAGAAATCTCGAAGTTTAAAATCTCGAAGGTCTAACTCTTAAATCATCATTCTAAATCCTAACTTATCTTAAAAACATAACATCAACTTAAAACACTATCATAGTCTTACGTGTTTGAAAACGTAATTTAAAAATAAAATAAAAATAATAATAATAAGTAAAATAAACATGAAATGCAAAATGACCTATACTAACATGACTCACACGTGCGAGCGTGAATCTCCAGACGTTCGCACCCCCATGGACCCATCATAGTCAAGCTAGCTGTCCGTAGCAACGTCTAGAGGTCAGCAGACCCCTGAGTGTCACGCGAGGCATGAACACCACCATCATCTTGATGGTACACATCAAGACTCGCCATCGTAAAAGGGGAAGTAGCCTGATGTTTATATACACATAGAATGCATGTTATCCCTATAGTTTCTCATCTTTAAAACATCTTTACGACACAACCCGCAGTTCCATTCTTATATTACTATAAGTAATATACGTGAATTGGTTTTCATACATTCGTCATCATTAACATTAACTAGGGGGTGCCTTAGGAAAATCATCCTCATAATGCAATATGACAGTTAAAACATTCATCTCATCTTAATAGGAAAATAACTTCATATTAAAGAAATTCCACAATCTCACCTCGTCATGTCATCATGCATCATCATCATCATACAATGTTATCATATAACAACATCATATTCATCATGTAACCTCATAAGGTATCATCATACAACTCATTCACGTTATCATACATCATACATCATACATCATCATCAAAGCATCATAAGAGAAAACATAAATGACACGTGCAGGAGCCACTCGGCACGTGTCGTCACACATCAAACAATTGTCCAACCTATCCTATAGTAAGGCCACTTACTTGGTTGGCCTTAGCCGGCGTCTCCCTAAATTCTAGTATGCTAATCTTTCGTTCTTCAAAGTTGCTCCAAATGTCGCTAGAAGTCGTTTCCTATTAGGATGTCAATTTCGTTTCATCAGTATTTCACAGTTCTAATGAACTTTAACTTGAATTTATGAAATAGGGCATCATATTGACCTTAATTACCTTAATTAGGGTCAAAATTAGCTTCGGAATGGTAGGAACAATGGAAATTGCTCAACTTATTCTTTATTGAGCTGAAGTGCTAGTTTTTGAGCCGCCAAGCCGAGCCGACTAAGCCGTGTATGTTGAAGGAGTGTCTGGATGCAGGTGTGACACGTGGCACAGCGAGGCGCTAACGCCTATGCAAGTCGAGTCGGGTCGAGGCACGGGTCATAGATTGATGTTGGGCTAGCTGCAAATCTAGGCTGAGGCAATGGATTTGGGCCTCGGGTTATGGATGCAGGCTGCAGGTGGGTATTGGGTGTAGTGTGCGTGGGCGGAGACGCGCGAGGTTGTTGAGTTTGAGTGCGGGTCTCTGGCTATGAGCGGGAGGACTTCTTATGGGTTGCTATAGGTTGGGTCAGTTTAGATGGGTTCGACACAAATTTGAATTCGTCGGATCTCGTCTATTTTGCATAAGAGCTTAAATTAAGATGATGGTAGTAACTTTAAGTTAGAAGAAATCGAAGTTCATTACCTAAGGTGTAATAATTAATACAATATATTAAAAAATTAGACCTATCATAAATGTATAAAATAATGGCCTAAAATGAAAATATTCCTATTATTAAAGTATAAATTCAAATTAGAGAATTAAATATTAAATGGAAGTAAGACCGTAAAAAAGTAATATAGACATTTAAGGCAAGCTAAAATTGGCATTTTTATAAAAACCATAATACTTTTGAATTTTTAAAAAAATTAAAGGTATTTTGTTTAAATAAAATATTAAAGTATTTTTTTTTTAAAATTTAAAAATAATTAAAAGTATAAAGAAAAAGACAAAGAGTTGAGCATCTTCTCTTTCATTCACGTTTTGTCTTATAAGTTGAGAGACAGCCTCACACTCTCCGCTCGCAATGTCTGCAACTCGATCTGGATTTGGGGCCAAATCATCAACTTTCAACCATTTTGCCTTTAATTCTTCATCTCTTCACCACACCAGGTAAAAGTTTCTGCCTTTCTTTTTCCAACTTCCTTCCCTTTTCTCTCTTTTCTTCTTCCGATCTCATAGTTCGTGTTGCTCGTGTTCGTATTTGTGTTCGTGTTCATGTTTAATTTCGTTGTTGATTTGCTATTTGTGTTGACGTTTGATCTTGTGGTTGACTTCTCTGTTCGTCTCTTCATTTATTGTCTTTCTCTTTCTACGAGTTTAGAATTTCAAGAACTCGATTGGCTCAAATCGACCCAAATCTCGAACTAGTCTAAAAAAATTCTCCAACCCATCTCTTGGAATTTTTCATCCAAACTTCCTTTCCATATTTTTAAAAAGTTGTTTGTTAGTGAGAGATTTCTACACAAAAAATGTTGGATCTCACAATCCACTCCTCTTCGGAGCCAATGTTCTTGTTGTCACTCATTTTCTTCTCTAATCAATGTGGGACCCCTAATTCACTCCCCTTTGAGGCCCAACGCCCTTGCTGGTACACTGCCTCGTGTCTACTCCTTTAGGGCTCAGCCTCCTCGCTGACACATAGCCTTATGTCTAGCTCTGATATTATTTGTAACGGTCAAGGCCCACTACTATTTGGGCTTTTCCTTACAAGCAATGTTTAGTTCTCTTTTCCAACTAAAATCTGATCTCACAAGTTAACCTGTGTACACCTCATTCTCAGCCGGCAGTCTCTGATCCCGTTGTATGTGTCAACCGTTGAATGATTTAGTTTTTATTTTCTTTAATATTTAAATAATCTGTCTTTTTCTCTTTAATGTTTAAATAATCTCTATCTTTTTCTCTTTAATGCTTAACTTTTTAAAATTTTTCATCTAGTCTTGGATTCTTCAACCAAATTATTATTAAGGGGATCAGGAAGGTAGGGGAGGTGTGAAGAAGAAATGTTAGCAATGGAGGTGAAGAACTGGTTGGTGTTGATTGTTGCAGCCTTTGTGTTTGTTTTGGGGATTTTGAAGAGACTAAATGGTTGGTATTATGCGGCCAAGCTTGGTAAAACATGGCCTAAGCTTCCTCCTGGTGATATGGGTTGGCCTCTTCTTGGTTCTACCATATCATACATCAAGAATTTCATCTCTGGTCAGCCAAGTAATTTCATTGCCAACTTTTACATAAGGTCATTTCTTCATCCATTTCATTCAAGTTTATGATTAATATGTTCAAATAATATGTTTCTTCCCCTCATTCTACTTAGAGTGTGCATCGAAATTGATATTTGAAACCGGCGTAATCGTATTGTTGGAGTCTTATATTGGCTTATTAAGGGGAACATCATGGGTATATAAGTAGGAAACACTATATATGAGACCAAATCAAAAGCAAACTCATGAAACTTTATACTTTAAGTGAACAATATCGTACCATTGTGTAGGTTCGTTGTCACTAACAAGTGGTATCAAAGTCATGTTCTTAATAGACATGTCAATAGAATTTTCAGGTGTCGAACAAATTAAAGATTTATGGTAGAGCTCGATTAAACTAGCAAAAAAAAAAAAAAAAAGAGTTGTTGTGCAGGATAGTGCTAGATGAATTGATGACTATTTAAAAAGAGCTTCAATGATACTTTGTTCTTGAGGAAGATTGTAGGAGTGGTTAATTGAAACCCTTACGTGGAAACCAAAACCAAAGTCAAGAAAGTTTATGCTTAAAGTGGACAATTTCATTCCATTTATGGAGGTTCGTTGTTACTAACAGGTGTTTGGATCCTAATTTTCATTCCAAGTCACACATCGTTTTCAAACCTTCTAACGAATTACTACTCCTAAGTTCAAGAGTATTTCGTATAATTTAGCTTTCATTTGACACATAATTGCTACTTTAGAAACTACTCTCGGAAATGAAGAGGCGATATTAGCTAATTGTCGATCAAAAGAATAGAGTTCGATCAGAGCTCGAACGACAAGAATCGAGATACTATTTTGATATCTCTCATCAAAACTTTCTTTTTTTTTTTTTTTACAGATATGGGAAAAGAGATATGTACAAAACACACCTACTTGGTAGAGCAACTATAATTGTTTGTTCATCTGAACTTTGTCGTCAAGTCTTAGGCGATGAAGACAACTTCAAACCTAGTTTACCCAAGAACATCAATATGCTAACCGGTAGAAAGTCACTGGTACAAGTCTTCAAGGCGGAGCACAAGCGGCTTCGGCGGTTGACGATGGCGCCGATCAGCGGCCACGCCGCGCTGGAGATGTACATCAATCATATTGAACACACAGTGATGAGTGGGTTAGAGGAATGGGCAAGCATGAAGAACCCAATTGAGCTATTGTCAGAGATAAAGAAGCTGACCTTCAAAATTATTTGGAACATTTTCATGGGTTCTTCTTCTTTAGAGTCTTCCATTGGAGAAATGGAGGGTTTGTTTTCTGAAGTTGCTTTAGGGTTCATATCATTGCCCATCAACTTTCCTGGCTTCAACCTCCATAAAGCACTCAAGGTAAGCCCCTTCTTTTCTTTCCTTTTTTACTTTGTTTCTTGTCAATAATTCATGTGGGGTTTGGATAAGTAGTTGTATTTAATCATCGAAACGGTTAAAAAGACTAAATTGACCGTAATTATGTTGAGCATTGTTGGGAGAGTAGTCCAAATAAAGAATACATCTCTGTTAGTACGGGGGCATTTTGAAAAAATCAAAAGTAAAGTCACGAGAGTTTATTCTTAAAGTGTATCAAAGTCATGTCCTTGACTTAGCTCCGAAAGGAGGTGGATTGTGAGATCCCACATTGGTTGGAGATGAGAACGAAACATTTTTTTAAAAGAGTTAGGAAAACTCTCCCTAGCAAACGTGTTCTAAAAACTTTGAGGAAAACCCGAAAGGAGCGATGGGCTTGAGCTGTTATAGTGGGCCTCAAAGGTGTAGTCAAAAGTGACTCAAGTGTTGAACAAAATGTGTATTTTATTCAAGAGCTTCAGAGGAGTCGAGCCTCGAAGGTTGTTCGAGGGCTACATAAGCCTCAGAGAAGGCTCTATGGTGTGAGAACCCACATCCGTTGGAGAGGAGAATGAAACATTGTTTATAAGGGTGTGAGAACTTCTCCCTAGTAGATGTGTTTTAAAAACCTAAAAGTTCGAAAAGAAAAGTCCAAAGAGGACAATATCTGCTACCAGTGGGCTTGAGTTGTTACATATGGTGTACTTTGTCGGGAGAGGAGTCCAAGTAAAGAATACATCTCCATTGGTATGAACCTTCTTGAAAAAATCGAAAGTAAAATCATAAGAGGGTCGTTATTAATAACAACTTATCCACGAGTTTACGTAGCAATAATTTAACATAGTATTATACAAAGTTCTATGTTTGAATCCTTATAATGTCATGGTATCTCTAGTTCATTTTAGATTAAAATATACAAGATAACACTTAGTACATTACCCAAAAAATAAACAAAGAATACTAGTTTGAGTAAAAAATAGAGCTCTATTCGTACGAGACATTTTGGGAATATCAAAAGCAAGACCTTTTGAGAATATCAAAAGCAAAGTCATAAGAGTTTATACTCAAAGTGGACAATATCATATTATTGTAGAGGATCATGATTACTAACCTCGTATTAGAGTCATGTCTTTAACTTAGTCATGTCAATAGAATTCTCAAGTTTCGAACAAATAACTTATGAGCCTCGAACATATAGTCAAAAATGACTCAAGTGTCGAACAAATGATGTACTTTATTTGAGAGCTCTAGAGAAAGAGTCAAACCTCGATTAAGGGAAGGTTGTTCGAGGGTTTCATAGGCCTCAGAGGAGACTCTATGGTGTACTTTGTTCAAGGAGAGAGTTATTGAGGATTGTTGGGAGATGAGTCCAAGTAAAGAATACATCTCCATTGATATTAGCCCTTTTGGGAAACCAAAAGTAAAGGCATGAGAGCTTATGTTCAAAGTAGACAATATCATACCATTATTGTGAGATCCCACATCAGTTCGGGAGGAGAACGAAACAAATTTTTTAAGAGAAGCTCAAAAGGAAAAATCTTAAAGAAGACAATATCTATTAGGGGTAGGCTTTGGTCATTACAATTAGAGGGTCGTGATTACTAACAACTTATCAACAAGTTTACACTGTCCTAATTTAACACAGTATCAAATACAAGGTCGTGTTTGAATCCTTAGCATGTCATCGTCCTCTCTAGTTCATTGTAGATTAAAAAATGTGTTCATTTACTAATACTTGAGAATGACAAATACTTATTGTATTTATGTCACTATCTTACCGCTAAGAGATTTAAACTATAATATTTGAAACTAATTCATCATTGTTAGGTTGGACTTATTATATGCTTTCTCTATCCCATTTGATCAATGCAAAATAATACTTTTATTATTGTAATTAAATATATTTTGCAGTTAATATCTTGATTATGCCAAATTCAAACGTGTGACGGGTCAAAATTAGGTTAAATTAATAAAAATACTCTAGAATTTTGCACTTTGTCTAAACCTTAAACTTTCAAAAAGTTCAAAAACACCTTAATATTATGTTTCAAAAAAGTATCTTCCTTCTAGATATTTTTAAACATGTTAGCAACGGGAGATATTAATGAAATTTTTAAAAAATCAAGGATATTTTTTAACGTACTAATAGTTTCCATCCAAACTGAGGGCGGGTACTTTTTTTTTTAGACTCGTTCAAAAGTTTTTAGAGTAATTTTGAAAAGTTTTAGGGTATTTTTGAAATAAAAGTAAACGGTTTATAGGTACTTGTATTAATTTAGCATCAAAACTATTCAAAGTCAGTGTTATACCATTCCATATCAACGTCATACTCACTCCAAGTCTCAATTTTTATCGAGGACAATATTGTAACTTTTGAAAGAACGTAAGCATGTTTAAAACAAATAGCAAACTTTAGTGGTATTTTATTTTTATTTTTTTTCTCTATTAACAAATTTAAACATAGGCTAGAAAGAAGTTGCTCGACATACTTCAATCCATCATCGACCAAAAGAGATTGGTGAGGAAAAGGCAAGGAACAAGTTGGGAAGCTAAAGACATGATGGATTTGCTTATGGAAGTGAAAGATGAAGATGGTGAAGAGTTGGATGATGAAACCATTAGAGATTTGATATTTGGTAAGCTATTTGCAGGCCATGAAACTTCAGCTTATACAGCAATGTGGGCAGTTTTGTTTCTTACAAAACATCCACATATTTTCCAAAGAGCCAAGGTTAGTGATTATTTCTTTCTTAACATAGCTACATTTCATGTTCTATTCAACTATATAATATTTGGGATTTGTAGTATTCATTATATGATCTATTATATTATAAAATCTCTATGTTTTAGGAAGAGCAAGAACTTATCGTTGCACAAAGACCCACAACTCAAAAGGGTATAATTCTCTCTGAGGTTAAACGGATGAAATTTCTTTCTCAGGTATGATTTTAATATTTATTTTTCTTGAGATTGAAATTACCCATTTATATTGTGAGATCTCACATCGGTTGTAGAGGAGAATGAAGCCTTCCTTAAAAGAGTGTGGAAACCTCTCCCTAGTATACAAGTTTTAAAACAATGAGGTTGATGGCAATATGTAATGGGCCAAAGCGAATAATATCTACTAGCGGTGGACTTGAGCTGTTACAAATGGTATCAGAATTAGACACCTTGTGCTAGTGAGGACGCTGGCTCCCAAGAGGGGTGGATTGTGAGATCCCACATCGATTGAAAAGGGGAACAAAGCATTCCTCATAAGAGTGTGGAAACCTCTCTTGTAGATTGTGAGATTTCATATCGGTTGGAGAGGGGAACGAAACATTCCTTATAAGAGTGTGGAAATCTCTCCTGTAGATTGTGAGATTCCACCTCGGTTGGAGAGGGGAACGAAGCATTCCTTATAAGAGTGTGGAAACCTCTCCTGTAGATTGTGAGATTCCACCTCGGTTGGAGAGGGGAACGTTACATAACATACCCAAACGAACATTAGAAAATCAAAATTAAGAATACATTTTTTGATATTTCAGATTATAGATGAGACGTTACGTGTTGGTGGTGTCACATTAATGCTTTTTCGTGAAGCAGTAGTTGATGTCGAAATTAATGGTAAGTGATTAAATTTCTATACATATATGTATGTTTGTCTTTCTAACATATGAAATATGATTTCTTGTACTTTATTTAGGTAAGATTATACCAAAGGGATGGAAAGTCATACCTTGGTTTGGGGAGCTTTATATGGATGAAAAGCTATTTCCTTCACCACGAGAGTTCAACCCTTCAAGATGGGATGTATGTAACTTATTTATATCATTGCCAGCCTTTTTTATTTTTGTAAAGGATGTTTCGTTCCTCGTTTTCACAATCTTATAAGAGATGTTTCGTGCTCTATTCCAAACCCTTATAAGAGATTTTTTATGCCCCGTTTCCACACCCTTATAAGACATTCTTCGTGCCCCGTTTTCACACCCTTATAAGGGATGCTTATTGCCCCGTTTCCATACCCTTACAAAGAATGTTTCGTGCTTAGTTCTCCGTTTTGATCCTTGTTTTCACACCCTTAGAAGGAAGACTTTGTTTCCTTCTTTAACCAATGTGGGATCTCAAAGAGGCTTTCACACCTTTATACGTAATTCTCGTTTCCACACCTTTAAAAGGAATGTTTCATTTCATTCTCTAACCAATATGGGATCTCAAGAAGGTATTCACGCCTTTATAAGGAATCCTCGTTTCCACACCTTTAGAAGAAATGTTTTATTTCCTTCTCTAACCATTGTAGGATCTCAGAGAGGTTTTTACACCTTCATTTTTCTCTCTAAACGACGTGAGATCTCACATTTTTTTCTCTTTTGATCTAATTAATGGCATATTGAATGGAATTTTTCTTGCTTTGTAAAGAATTATGTAGCCACGCCAGGAGCTTTCATCCCTTTTGGATCAGGAAGCAGGTATTGCCCCGGAAGTGATCTTGCCAAGCTCGAAATCTCAATTTTTCTTCATTATTTTCTCCTCAATTACAAGTAAGTTTACTCTTAACTTCTCATTAATTAATTCTATTAACTTCAACACAAAACATAAACAAAAACCTTTTCTTAATTACTACACAATCATTTTGTAATAATGCAGGATTGAACAGCTTAATCCAAAATGTCCGATGACTTACATGCCATTTCCTCATCCTAAAGACAAATGCTTGGCAAGAGTGCATAAAGTTTAATGAATACATATATATAAGTGTGTATGTATACATAGAACCTGATTCAACTATATTATACTTATGACTCTACTTTTTAAAGTACAGTTTAGTTCGTTATTATATGAATAGTATGAATTTTAATTGCATAACAAAAGGAATCGAGTATAGAGGTTGAACTCTGACTAGCAAGCACAATCAATCGCCCGAGATGTTGTTGTCTTTACTTGAAAAAATATTGAAAAATGTTAAGTATCATAAATACTCCGTGATTCCCCTATTGGAGGTCAAAAAATGAAAATCATGCAAACATGGCTATAGCTATTGTGGTTGTAGTGGGACATAGAATTTAGTCTTTGATTCTAGTTCTATTCTTATATTGGAGATATGTACTATTTTCATATACGTTCATAGTTTCTAAGTGTGATTGGGTATGTATCACTTTCATATATAATGATTCTACATGCATCACTTTGCACGTATCATCCTTGAAAGAGTAAAGAAACAAAAAAGAAAACATATAATTATTTTATAGCTATAATGATCACATAGGAAGTTGTTAATTCTTAAATCCTATGAAACATAGAAAAGCTTTTGTGCACCATTTGTTACAGCCAAAAGTGGACAATATTTTTGTAATAGAAAGTTGTTACTATCTGGTGACGGACTCTAATACCATTTATAACAGCTAAAAGATGATAATATCTACCAGCATTGAACTTGAGTTGTTACAAATGATATCATAGTCAAACACTAAGTGGTGTACCAACAAAGATCCTAAGCCTCTAAGGAAGATGGATTGTGAGATCTCATATCGGTTGGAGAGAGAAATAAAGCTTTTCTCAGGGTGTGGAAATCTCTCCCTAGTAAACGCATTTTAGAATCATGAGATTAATGACGATACATAATAGGCTAAAAGAGACAATATCTATTAACGATGAGCTTGGACTGTTACAAGGCTTCTCAAGTTTTAGTCCCGGATTTTACCATTTGTGTTGAATTTGTGGACCACCTCAGTACTGGTTCAATGGAAAGGGATGTGTGTTAATGATGCCCCATGGGATCTAGCCATCATATAGTACCCAGCTATAACCTCCCTAACTCTTAGCCGCTTGTGTATGGCAAGAGGTGAACCAACTGTTGCACAATGCAGGTATAGGAGGTTGGTCAGGACCGTCAACATGCAAATACATAGTATACAAAGAGGTTAACCAACGACATCATGGATTCTAGAGCGATCGAGAGCTCTTGAATTCTCCCTATCATCAAGGTAACTTTCGACTAATTATCATTGGCTAAACTACTTTGAGTCTATTAAAAATGTTATTTGGGTGTCTCATTTTCTGTCTCTATATGGACTCATTAATCATGGCTTAACTTGTATCACATATTCCGTCTTGTAAGTGCCATTATCGGTAGTGTCTTACCTATTGAGTTATGACTAGGGACGATACAGATTTTGAATATCATGGTAGCTTGTAGATTGAGTTCCGCCTTTATGTACGCAATAGCTTTGTGTTACATTTTCTATCGGTAAAAGTTCAATATCAATAGTGTCTACTGCCATATTTTGAATATCATTCTGATTAACTTCTAAATCTTCAAAATTTTTTATATTTATTCCATCTCCAGTGAAGGTTTCAATGAACTTCTATGGATCCTGAATGTCGATCATCTCAATAGAGACATTCAGTGGACAGAAAAATATATATAAAACAAGGTGGATAGAAAATGAGGTGAAAATGGAGATGGGGACGGGAATATATAATCCTGTCCTAATTTTGTTCATGATGATATAAGAAAAAGATTGAAGATTCAATTTCATAATCATAATCATATAAGAAACAAATATTGAGATTGATCATAACCACACAAACACGAAATGGTAAGATTTGAACCTAAAGTCAAATTAATAAAACTCTAAACCCTAATGATTAAGAAAAAGTGACAACCACTCTATTTGCATAATGAGATTATGTTTTTTTTATTGGTTTTAGTATCTAAGTGAGATCTGATACGATGATATGGGATTAAGTGTGTTTTTTTTACAAATTTCATTTTAAAATAAAAATACTTGAAATGACGACTTTAACCTTGCCCATAAATTTTTTAATATAGTTATTTACAAAGTGAGATTGAAATTTCAATCTCAAATTTAAAAAGTAAAAAAAAAAACAATGCAATATTACAATCCATCTAAAGGGAATGGATTATTCAAGAGGGTACCCTCACTATAATAGACACACTCTAAAAACAGTTAGGCTAATCGCGAATACAGGCCGAAGCCAACTAAAGGAGTGAATTGTGAGATCCTACCTTGATTGGAGAAAGTAACAAGATAGATTGCGTGGGTGGATTATGATATCCCACAACAGGGGAACGAAGAATCCCTTATAAGGATTTGGATTGTGATATCACAGATCAGGAAAATCGAACTTTCCTTCTAAAGATGTGAAACTATGAAATTGACGACGATATGAATCGACAATATTTATTAACCGTCCGCTTATTAAAATTTGACCATTTTCTAGAGATGATTTGAAGTGGGAAAGTGGGAATAGCATTTATTAGGATTGGATTAAGTCAACCATAGCATTTTGTTGAGTGACATAACGTATTGATTATAAACTTTTGTTAGACCCCATAATCCAATATCCCTTCTTCACCCACTACTCTCTTTTTTCCACTCTCCCTTCCAATCACATTTATTTATATGTTCATATATCATTCATTTCAATCTAATCTACTTTTTGTCTCTACTCTCGTTTATTATGTTCGAGTTCAATTCTAGTTTTGTTCGGGTTTAGTTCCAATTTTGTTTCTACAATTTTAAAAATTTTGAGTTTGTTCGATCGTTACACAATTTTATGAGTATTGTACCACTTAATGTTTAGGATTTGAAATTCGGATTTGGCACTTGATAGTCATGACGTTACCTTGTGACATGATCATGTTACCTTCTTGGCTTGAATTATTTCTAAGAGTGAAGACTATCTCACAACTCAAATTGGGTTCTTTTAGCTCGTTTTGTCATCACTTATCTGTTTCTTGTGAAAGTTTTTAGAAAATCACCCAACATGGAATTTTTCTACCCAAATATGCTTAACTTTGGAGTTGTTACGATTGAATTGTCGAAAAATGTATTTAGGGTTTAGGGTTTAGGGTTTTAGGTAATGACTATTGATTTTTTAAAATATTTCTTGACCATCATATCTTCAAGATCACTCTTATTCAAGTATTGATTCATTTATGTGTCTCTCCTTTACTCCGTCACAAATTGTAACAACCCATGTCTATGATTCGAAATTCTGATATGAATACTAGGCATGGATCGTTACAAATGGCATCAGAGTGATAATACTCAAAGTAAGATGTGGTTTTGGGACGAAACAACGCAAAAACGGGTGAGCATATGATACTCGAATAAATGAGGTGTACATGAATGAAAAGAGACCAAATCTAAAAGAGAGCAATCGTGAGGATGAGATGACTAAGAAAAGCTAAAAAGAATTGAAAGTCATTGCATATACCTATAACGTGACCATGTCGCAGGGGATGTAGGAGAGTGTCAGGGCCATCAAGTATCGAATTCTTACTCGAATAGGCATGAGTTGATATTTTTTAAAAATATTATAAAAATAAAAAATATATTATTATCAAAAGTATGTCCAAAATTAATGATGTTTTTGTTATCTTTAATCTTTTTTAGATATACTAGAGATTCACCACTTATGTTGACTTCAACTTCATAATTATGTGCAAAATGTTAAATGTCAACAAAAATTTAATATTATATTCACCATCTAATTTTTCGTGGTTTTACAAAAAAAAAAAAAAAAAAAAAAAAAAAAAAAAAAAAAAAAAAAAAAAAAAAAAAAAAAAAAAAAAAAGTTTTTCAATATTATCCGCTTTGACTCGTTACTTATCATCATCAGTCTCACGGTTTTACAATACATCTTCTAGTGAGAGGTTTTTACACTCTTACAAGGAATGTTTCGTTTCTCTCTCCAATGTATGTGAGATCTCACAATCCAACTCGTTGGACCCAACATTCTCACTGACACATCACCTAGGTCTGGTATACCATTTTTAATAGTCAAAGTTTCACACTCTTATAAGAATGTTTCCATTTTTAATAGTCAAAGTTTCACACTCTTATAAGAATGTTTCGTTTCTTTCTACAACTGATGTAGGATCTCACAATCCACCCTCTTTGAGGGCCCAACATTCTCAATTACACATCGTCCGTCAGATGTCATACTCTAATACCATTTGTAACAGCTCAAGCTCACTGTTAGCAGACATTGTTCGTTTTGGCTCATTACATATTGTCGTCAACCTCACGGTTTTAAAAGCATCTACTAGGGAGAGATTTACACATTCTTATAAGGATGATTCGTTCCCTCTCCAACCGATGTGGGATCTCACAATCCACCCTGTTTGAGGGTCCAGCGTTCTCAATGGTACATTACCAGGTGTCAAGCTCTGATACAATTTGTAATAGCCCAAGCTCACCGCTAGCAGAAATTGTCCGCTTTGGCTCGTTACATATCACCGTGAACCTCACGGTTTTAACAATAGGGAAAGATTTCCACATTCTTATAAGGAATGTTTCACTCCCTCTCCAGCCAATGTGGGATCTCACAATCCACCCCTTTGAGGGCCTAGCGTTCTCAATGGCACATCGCCAAGTGTCAGGCTCTGATACCATTTGTAACAGCTCAAGCTTATCACAGCAGATATTGTCCGTTTTGGCTCGTTACGTATCGTCGTCAACCTCACAGTTTTAAAAGCATCTACTCGAGAGAAATTTCCACATCCTTATAAGAAATGCTTCGTTTCCTCCCCAACCAACTTGAGATCTCACATTCCCTCCTCTATTTGACTCACAATTTATTCAAAATTATAATTTAATTTAATGAAATTGAAAGTAATATAGGGAAAATGACAAAATTACTTGAAATTCAAATAATAATGAATAGTCAAAGAGAAAATTATGGTTTTTCAAGAAGAATAAAAGAAAACAATTTTAAAAATTATTTTCTTTATGACCAAATATTTCTACTATTTAGCAAGGATTTAAAATTTAAAAGTTGAATTAAATTATTATTTTTTAAAAAACAAAGTTTGACTTCTATATGCTATAAAGGATTGAGATTTCCCCTAATTTCACTTGAAAACTTATTAAATAAAAGCATCAATTTTGAATTGTAACAATTTGAAAAAAAAAAAAAAAAAACATCTTTTGACTATTCATTTATTTTCAACAAAAGAATCCTTCAAATTATGTCAATATTCAAACTCATGGCTTGAGAAGACTTTTAAATATAAGTCAAACGCTTAATTATTTCGTTAATTAATTTTTGAATTTTCTAAATTATGCACAAGATTTCTTTGATTATGTAGATCAACAAACCCGACTCAAGAGACCAAATGTCGTTATAACCTAAAAAAAAGACTAATGCTTTCGTTTTGCCTCAAAAATACCTCTAAAATTTCAAAAGTTTCAATAACGTCCAAATTTTAAAAAATCTTTTATAATTAGTTTGGGATGAAAACGGTTAATACTTTATTTTAAAAATAACATTTTAACCCATAGAAATATTTAAAAAATATCTTAAAATAATTCATTTATTTTAGAGATTAAATAATTCATTTAATGTATGAAAAAAATGAAAATTAATTTGAAATATAGAAATAAAATATATCGAATGAATGTAATCCAAATGTATTGTTTTGGCATAATCATTTCAAAAGTCAAATTTGAAATTAATAACTTTCCATAAAAATAAAAAAAAATAATAATAACAAAATTTGAAATATATGTCACATTAATTGTATTTTTATATATTTTTCAAATTACTTGAAAAATGGTTGGAATTCAAAAAGAATACATGAACCCGTAGCATTGCTAACAACCCTGTTCGTTACGTCTCTAGTACATTTTTACCTATACTTGAAAATTAAGGTTTTGACTTCCGCGTATATGTAATGTAGAAAATGAAGCATTCTTTATAAATATGTGGAAATCTCTTTCTAGTCTGAAATCTTGAGGGATAACTCGAAAAGAAACAAAGAGAACAATATCTGCTAGTAGTGAGCTTGAACTATTACAGGTTGAATATTGAACATACTCGTAAGTTGCTCTCATTGGGGTTAGATAGACATATACACACAACAAAAATATGACATAAATTGATAGACATGATTCGTTAGAAAAATGGGTCATCTAGTTTGTGACCTGCCTCAGATACAGGATCATCTAACTTGTAACCCTAATCAAACGTTAGAAATCGTGATAATTTAGTACGTGACCCATAATATAAAACATGGGTCATCGAGCACGTGTCTAAAGTTAAGAACCAAAACATAAGTCATCTAATCTGCGACTATAGTGGTACGGCTAACCAATTCATTGAAGAGTCTCTATTTCACTAAGTGCATCCAGTAAGATAAATCAAACTCAATCCAAATAGGAGTATACATCCCATTTGGCTCGATAGTCAATACTTAGTCAATTAACAACCTTACACGAGATGATTCTGGCTTTAAATAAGAAAAAAAATCAAAGCATATTAGCCTTAAAACTACACCGAACAAGAGTAGCCAAATCAAACATGTCTAATCGAGCGGGACCAAAATAAGAATGCTTGGGAAAAAAAAAGTTTACAACTTTCAAAATTCCTTCAATTTACTTTGTCAAAAGTCTCCAAAGACAATATATAATTTTAAATTGAAGTAGGTAAATTAAAATTAAGTATTATAAATAAAATTATAAAATGGGAGAAAAAATGGTTTGTTGCATTATTTTAAATATTAAAATTTTAACATTGTAATTAATTAAACTAATATAAGTTTATCTCTAAAAATCTTTTAAAAGAGGTTTTTAACTTTCAATTTAATTTTTTAAAAAATTTATTAAATATATTATATATCAAATTAAAATTTATTAATAGGGAGAAATAAAAATAAAAATAAAAACCGACAAGATGACGTCATCTGTATGGCCCACTTTTGAAAAGAGTGGGCCCCACTCCGAGGAGCTTTTGTCATGGGTCGTTGACTACTGAGGTGTCATGGACCCCACAGCTCACCAAAGCATTGAAACGTTTAAACGGTTTCCTTTATCTCTCTTTCTCTCTCTTTCCTTTTAAATAAATTTAAATAAGAAAAAGTACTTTAACTAATTCAAACTTTTAAATTTGAATTAAAACTATTATTCATTAATTTCAGATTAAAAAAATATTATTTATTAATTTGACTATTATAAATTTACCCTGATTTTTTAATTAAATATTAATCTTTATTAAAAATAATTTTGAGAAAAGGTTGAGGTTAATATGGTAATTTTAAAAATAATACATGAAGTTGAAATTTATTTATATTAAATATATTTTGTCTTTAACGAATTTCCCTAAACTAACTAACACTTTGACTTTCCAGAATTTATACTTTTTCTTTTAATTTCTTTTTACCCCGTTTAAAATAAATAAACAAAAAGCTTCCCGCCTTGTAATGCGAAATTCCAACTCTACCCTTGAATTAATTTTACATTTTGTAAGGGTAAAATGGTCAAATGAACACTTTTGTTTTTCCTACTTGTTGACCGTGTGGGCACGTAGGACTTTTTGTCGACTCCCCAAAATAAATATTATTCAATTTATTATTAAATAAGTATCAATAGTGACGATTTTTTTATTATTTTTTTTAATTTGCGAGAAACGAAAATAAATATATAAATAATAAATTGAAATTCGAGTAGCGGGTTTGACTAATCAGTACGGCGTAGAGGGAGTGAATGTGAGCCGTTGATGTATGTGGTCAGAGATTGATCGTGCGGTTGTTGTTGTCGGATATGCCCGACCAGGATCCGTGAGTGGCAGTGATGGGGATATGTGAAGGATAACTTTTGGGCTTGGGCTTCTTCAAGTCAAACCCCCCTCATTTTCTCTTTGGACCTTTTGGCCCATTTGACTCTTTATTATTATTTTAAAAAAAATGGTATCTTTCCTAAATTACCATTTTACCCTTGCTTTTGTTTTCTTGCCACTTGTGTGACAAAATTGTATCATGTTTTAAGTCAAACTTATATGTTTAATATTCTCGAGCAACTTTGTTTAATAGGTCATTACAGTGGCAGGGTCTTCTCTTATAAGATTTTGACTTTTAAATATCAACAAGATGTACCTCCCTTTTCAGTAAAACTCCAAAATTAATCGTGTTTTGACTCAGGTTCATTTGTGCAGATAGTCTTTAAGGGAATTTCAGAGACATCAAGTGTCAATTCCGAATTTCGAATCCTAAACATGAGTTGTTACAATTATACCCTTGTTAAAATATTAGATGGAAATCGAGAGTTTTGAGTAGTATGGAAATAACTTAGAACAGTGTGACAATCCAATTCAAACGTCAAATTTGTCCATATATCTCCTTTTTTTTTTTTACATTTTGTAAGGGTAAAATGGTCAAATAAACACTTTTTTTTTCTTTTTTTTTTTTTTTGGGTTCGGGTACAAAGACAAAATAATAAGAAAAAAGAAAAAAAAAAAAGTCCGACACACACAAACAACGAAAAAGACAAATGCAATCCCAGAAAAGCCCTTCGTTTCGTCTCGGTTTTCCACATTGACCCTATCCCTACACTATGGAGGGCTCCCCCGTCCTTTTACAAAATTTTCAGCCCCAAATTCGTCATTTCGCTTATTACTTTTCCGTGGACCCATCCCCTTGACAACCTGGCATCCTACGTGGCACACAATACCCCTTGTATTCGCGTAATGCCAGATGTGCAGTCCCAACAAATGCATAACCGATACCTAAACCATGTACACCAAAATTCAAACCATTTTTCTTTTTCTTTTTCTTTTTCTTTTTTCTTTTTAACAAATAAATTAAATAATAAGAGTAAAAAATAATATGCAATGCTATATTAATTAATTAAAAGGGTAATTTATAATATTTATTTTTCATTTTTGCATGATAATTTTTTATGAATAATTTAGTAGAGCATATATTTTATTGGTCTCACTCCTATACTTAAGTTGAAGGATCGACGTTACTAAACCTTAAACCCTAAATCATGTACGCCAGGATTTAAAATCTTTAACCTCGGGATCGACCATAAACCTTAAACCCTAAACTATGTACATCAGGATTCAAAAACTTTAACCTCGGGGTCGACCGTAAACCTTAAACCCTAAACCCTAAATCATGTTTGTCGAGATTCAAAATCTTTAACTTTGAGGTTGATCGTAAACCGTAAACTCTATACCATGTACATTAGGATTCAAATTATAAACCTTAAACCCTAAACAATGTACGTCAAGATTCAAAATCTTTAACTTCGCGCTCGATCGTAAACCTAAAACCCTAACCCATGTATGTTAGGATTCAAAATCTTTAACCTAAGGTCGATCGTAAACCTTAAACCCTAACCATATACATCAAGATTCAAAATTTTTAATCTCGGGGTCGACCGTAAACCTTAAACCTTAAACCATGTACGTAAAGATTCAAAATCTTTAACCTCGGGGTCGACCGTAAACTTTAAACCCTAAACCATGTATGTTAGGATTCAAAATCTTTAACCTCGAGGTCGAATGTGTTTAATCCCTAAACCATGTACATCAGGATTCAAAATCTTTAACCTCAAGGTCGACCGTAAACCTTAAACCCTAAACCATGTACATTAAATTTAAAATATTTAACCCTAGGGTCGATTGTCAGGATTCAAAATCTTTAACCTTGAGGTTGACGGGAAACCTTAATCCCTAAACCATGTATGTCACGATTCAAAATCTTTAACCTCGAGTCGACTGTAAACCTTAATCCCTAAATCATGTATGGCACGATTCAAAATCTGTAATCTCGAATTGACAGTAAACCTTAAACCATGTACGACTAGATTCAAAATCTTTAATTTTGGTGGACCATAAAAAAAAATTGTAATTAAAAAAAAAAAGAAAAACAAAGTAAAAAACTAACAAGGTTTCTCTCTCCTCTCTCTCTCTCTTCTCTCTCTCTTTCTGAGTCTCTGTTCACTTCATTTGTTTATTTCTTTTGTTTTTGCTGTGAGGGAGAGAGAGAGAGAGAAGAGAGAGAGAGAGAGAGAGAGAGAGAGAGAGAGAGAGAGAGAGAGACCGCCGGAAAAGTAATTTTTGGTGCCATTTTCCCCCCTTTGCAGAGCGCACAGAAGTTCGAATCAAATGTGATGGGAAGCGGAGTCTCCAGCCTCTTCTCGTGCCTTAAGCCGGAGACTCGCCCCGCCGCCCTTCCAGCCGACAATTCCGACCTCCTCTTCTCTGCCTCCGAGCCTCTCGATGAAACCCTAGGCCATTCCTTCTGTTACGTCCGCTCTTCCAACCGCTTCCTCTCTCCTTCTCATTCCGATCGCTTTCTTTCCCCTTCTCAGTCGCTTCGTTTTTCGCCTCCTCACGAACCGCTGCCGCTCGGGACTAGGACTAGAACTGGCCTGCCGGAGACTGCCTTCAAGGCCATCTCCGGCGCTTCTGTCAGTGCCAATAGTTCTATTCCCAGATCTGTTTTTATGGTCGATAGTGTTTACGACGATGCCACTGACACTGCACTTGGGGCTTGTGGTAGTGGCTGTGGAGTGAGAGGGAGTATTTTGAATGGCTTCGAGAGTACATCTTCTTTTACTGCTCTTCCGCTTCAGCCGGTGCCGAGAGGTGGTACCGAACCTTTGGAGCGAGGTGGGTTCTTTCTCTCTGGTCCAATTGAGCGTGGGGCGCTGTCTGGTCCGCTCGATGCAAATGTCGATGGTGGTGGTGGTTGTGGTGGCGGCGCTGGTGGTGGCGGTGGTGGCAGTGGCGGTGCTGGGAGAGTTCATTTCTCCGCTCCGCTGGGTGGGATGTACGTGAAGAAGAAGAGGAAGAAGAGCATTTCGGGGTTTAGGAAGGCATTTACGAGGAATTTTTCAGATAAGCGGCCGTGGGTTGTGCCGGTGTTGAATTTCGTTGGCCGGAAGGATAGCTCGACGGCGGGAGATGAGCCGGAGGTGAGGAATGAGAGTGATGTTCAATGGGCGCTTGGGAAGGCTGGGGAGGATCGGGTACATGTGGCTGTATCGGAAGAGCAAGGGTGGTTGTTTGTTGGGATTTATGATGGATTCAATGGCCCTGATGCGCCTGAATTCTTGATGGGTAATCTCTACAGAGCTGTCTTCAATGAGCTTCAGGGATTGTTTTGGGAAATTGATGATAACGATGAGGCTGCTAATTCCAACCCTTCAAACATTGCTGAAGAGAGTACAGTCAGTGTGAACGAAACTAATGCTGACCCCTCTTCCAGAGCCTCTAGTCAAAGGATTGAAACTAATGGAAATGAAGCGGAAGTGGAACCACCGGCTACTGATCGAGGATCGGTCAAGAGGGTTACATTTCAATCCGAGGTTGGATCGGAGAACAGGAGGAGGCGGCGGTTATGGGAGTATTTAGCGGAGGATGATACACAAGATGGACTTGATCTTTCGGGGTCGGAGAGATTTGCATTTTCGGTCGACGATGCGCTTAGTGTAAATAGTGCAGGTTCAGTAGCTGGTAGAAGGTGGCTGTTATTGTCCAAGTTAAAACAAGGGTTGTCAAAGCATAAGGAGGGTAATGTTAAGACTTTGTTCCCATGGAAGTATGGTTTGGGAGATAAGGAGAAGGCTGAGGCTGAGAATAGGGTGGAAGAGACATCTTATCGAAGTGGTAAGAGGAGAAAGGAAGGTTTAATTGATCATAAGTTGGTGTTGGGGGCACTATCACGAGCTCTTGAGATAACTGAATTAGCATATTTGGATATGACAGATAAGTTGCTTGATACCAATCCAGAGCTTGCTTTGATGGGTTCTTGCTTACTGGTTGTGTTAATGAGGGATGAAGATGTGTATGTAATGAATTTGGGTGATAGCCGTGCCATTGTTGCACAGTATGAGCAACAAAAAGTTGGCCCTAGTGAAGACATGAAGGAGGAGGGCGACAAAGGGACGGGCATGGAGGGTATAATTGAGGAGTCTACAACGAGCGAAGGGAAAATAACTCGAACGAATCAACCTTCAGCTCAGACGACGAGATTGACTGCATTGCAGCTATCCACCGATCATAGCACGAGCATTGAAGAAGTAAGATTGGTTCTTTGTTCTTTGTTAATGTATTCAATGCCCTTATACCTCTTAGTTTCTTTCCTTCTACTCATGCACATACATTCAATGAAGATATATCGCATGTTAGGAAATGGTATTAGATCCTAATAATTTCCAAGTTCCCAAGGCATTGGTTTAATTTCCCCCTCCCCTCTCATGCCAGTGGATGATGCACCAGAGATCGAATCGGTAAAAGTCAAACAAATAACCATTTGAATATGAAAAAGAATGTCTAATCTTTTGTCTGTCAGCTATTTGAAACGGTAAGCATCCATGCCTTGATTTCTTGTGCTCGATTAATCTGAACAAGTGAACTTATATTTGATTATCTTCTCAATCACTTTGGCTGATGACACAAGGCTGGAAATGAAACTTCTTTCTCAAATTGTCTTTTTTTGGTCATCTGAAGTGCCTGATGGTCCTGGATGATTAGAGAAGACCTATTTCTTGTGTAAAAGCTTCTTTCAAATTCCTTGTCCTTGTAGCTGAGGTTTCATAGGCTTGTTTGCATTTATTCTTATGGGTTTTGTTGTCTGAATTGTCTTAATTTGGGTTTTGTAGTGAAAAAACTACACACAAAAAGAGTACACTGCCTTGCAGGCATGGTACTTGATGGTTAAGCATTTGCATGTCAAGTTGATTGGTTTTTTCATTCGCATAACTGTTAGTTGAACACGACTCTCCACAGTGGTATGATATTGTCCACTTTGAGCATAAGCTCTCATGACTTTGCTTTGGGCTTCTCCAAAAGGCCTCATGCCAATGGAGAGAGTATCATTGATTATAAACCCATGATCATTCCCTAAATTAGCCGATGTGGGACTTTCATCATCCAACAATAACAACTTTGATCCTGCCACGTGCAGGAAGTAAGAAGAATAAAGAATGAGCACCCTGATGACAAACGGTGCATTGTCAACGATAGAGTGAAGGGTCGTCTAAAGGTTACGAGGGCGTTTGGTGCAGGATTTTTGAAACAGGTTTGTACTTATTACACTTCTAATTGTATCAGTAATCAATCTTCTGAATGTTATTTATTTCTTCTGCATATTATATGTATAAAGCTTCAAGAGCACATGACATAATGAGAGTTACTTCTTCTGTATCATGTACCATCAATTATATTGTTTACATTGTTGCATTTCTCCTCTTGGATTTTGGCTTGCATATGAAAATGGGCAATAGTCATGACTACAATAGTAAACTTATGCTTTTGCACTCCTCAAAATAATAGTGGTGTGTGGTCATGTTGCAAATTTTTGTGCACGAGTGATGGGAATTTTAAACTCCAGTGCACGTTTATCCCGACGATCTTCCTTGATCTATAAAAATCGTTTTAGTTTGAGTTATTTCATAGGATCATGTCTTTGGGTAATATTGATAATTTTTTTGAGAGTTTTCTGGATTCCTTTGGGTTTTCTTTTGTGCCTAATAGAGATTATGGTCCATGATTGTAACAACCCAAGCCTGCCACGCTAACAGATATTGTCCTCTTTGAGCTTTCCCTTTCGGGCTTCCTCTCAAGGTTTTTAAAACACGTCGGCTAAGGAGAGGTTTCCACATCTTTATAAAGAATGCTTCGTATGTGAGATCTCACAATTCACTCCCATTCGGGGTTCAGTGTCCTCGCTGTGGAAACCTCTCCTTAGCTTACGCATTTTAAAAACTTTGAGGAGAAGCTCGTAAGGGAAAGCTCAAAGAGTACAATATCTACCAGCGGTGGGCTTAGGTTGTTACTTCCTCTAGTGTTTTCATCCTTTTAGGGGTAAATAGAGAGTTCTTTGGCAAGCAAGCTTTCTTTTTTTGGTTGCTGTTTTATGGTGTATTTGAATAGAAAGAAATAATAGGATTTGTAGTGGGATGGGACGTTCTTTGAGAAAACATTAGGTTTTATAACTCCTCATGGACGATATCCATTAAGACCTTTTGTAATTATTAGATAGGCATTATTCTTTTGGGTTTGAGGCCTTCTTTTAGGTTTGGAGACCTTTTGTGTAATGTCCCACATTGGTTGAGGAGGATAACAAAACACCATTTATAAGGGTGTGGAAACCTTCCCCTAGCAGACGCGCTTTAAAGCCCGAAAGGGAAAGCTCAAAGAGGACAATATCTGCTAGCGGTGGGCCTGGGTCGTTACAAATGGTATCAGAGCTAGACACTAGACTTGCTGTTCCCCGAAGGGGGGGTAAACACGAGGCGGTGTGCTAGTAAGGACGTTAGGCCACGAAGGAGGGTGAATTTGGTGGAGGTCCCACATTGATTGGAGGAAGGAATGAGTGCCAGCGAGGACGCTGGGTCCAGAAGGGGGTGGATTGTAATGCCCCACATTGGTTGGGGAGGAGAACAAAACACCATTTATAAGTGTGTGGAAACCTTCCCCTAATAGACGCGTTTTAAAGCCCAAAGAGGACAATATCTGCTAGCGGTGGGTCTAGGTTATATTTTAGTGTGTGGAAACTTTCCCCTAACAGACGCGTTTTAAAGCCCAAAGAGGACAATATCTGCTAGCGGTGGGTCTGGGTTGTTACATTTTGGGTGGCAATTCATGATGGGATTGGTTCGACCAACTTGACTATAACATGGTTTTTTACCTTTCCTGATTTTGCTCTATTATTTTTGAACACCTTATCCAATTGTATTTAGCTTACAAAGTGGTGCTGCTGTCCATTTTTCTACAGCCAAAATTAAATGATGTCTTACTGGAAATGTTTCGGAACGAGTATATTGGTACAGCGCCATATTTATCATGCTTACCTTCTCTTCGTCACCATAAACTTTGCCCCACGGATCAATTCATCGTGCTCTCATCTGATGGGCTATATCAATATCTAACCAATGAAGAAGTAGTTTCCTATGTTGAGAACTTTATGGAGAAGTTTCCAGATGGAGACCCTGCACAGCACTTGATAGAGGAGCTTCTTTGCCGTGCAGCCAGAAAAGCAGGTAGTTGCTATATCTTATGCTATGCCAAATTTTCGCTCTTGTTTCCGTTAATAACTCGAGTCAAAGCATAACACATAATTGGTCTTCCCTCGGAGTACCTTCGCTGCCCATCAACTATTCTAATTGAATGTCTGAAACTTCATAATTTACAATACACATTCTAGAAAACCGATCGATACTAATCAAACCAGTATTGGTTATGAGAAGATTTGTTCTTAATACTTTCAACATATGATGAATTCACAATTTTCTATTGTTGTGGGCTTAAATTATGTCTCTGAAGCTGAGTTTAATTCTGAATTAAATAACACCTTTGTTGCTAGTTTTCGTTTCCTTGGCATTTGGATTGTGTTTGGGAGTTTTTTACTGTGGTTTCTTTTCCATGGTCGATTCTCATTCGGGGTCAGTGTGAATGTTTATGCTTTACAGGAATGGACTTTCATGAATTGTTGGACATCCCACAGGGGGATCGGAGAAAGTATCATGATGATGTTACTGTTATGGTCATTTCACTTGAAGGAAGAATCTGGAAATCCTCAGGAAAATATCTTTGAAAAACTTCTGTAAATCACAGGTGAAGTGAAACGACATTTGCGCATTTGACCCAGATGGCACTCTGTAAGTGGTATGAAATTGCACTGATTGCCTTATGTTCTTTAACATCTCAAGTACCATGCCTGACTGAAGAAATTGAGTGCACACAGACAATATCGACAACAGGGTACCGTTGGATGAACGTTCCTGAACGTGTGCCTTCGTTGGAGGATGAACAACAAGCAATTGTCAAATGGGATTTTTGGTATATGATGCCTTTTACAAGGAAAAATCTTAACTTCTCTTTCATTTTCTATTTGTTATCTGTTATTTCCTTCCTCATTTAGACGCCTCTAATAAGGAAGAGAACACATTTTTGCTTAGGGTACAGGCACTTGCCATTCATTTGTGCCTTTTTCTCATTTTAGATCCAAAAAGAACAAAAAAAGAAAAAAAGAAACGTGCTTGTAAATTGGTGGGGGGTATAATTTTACTTGCTGGAAAACTGAGCAGTCCCTTGTGTATGGTGGATTCCACCACTGCGGATTATAGAGGAAAATTTTATTCTACAAGTTTTTCTCTATTGAAGGCCTCTGTTTCTCTCTGAAATTGTGTGTTTTTAGCAGCAAAATTCGATCAGAAGAACTCTATTATATATACTTTTTGCATTAACTCATACATTGTAGTGATGAAAGATGGCTGCTGGTTAAGCTGTGGTAGCCACAGATGGTACTCTTGAATGTACCCAAGCAACGAAATCCTCCCTCGTGGCTACAAACCAACCAGCCCGATCTTCTCGCAATCGAAACGGAGCAGCTAGCTTCTCGACATGAGAAGCGAATGAATTGGCAAGCCCTTGAGAAAACCTGTGAGTTCCTGCACCGGTTTGAGCTGATAACAATTCAGGTAATGCTTCTTCTCGTTGTACGATTTTTGATAGAGTTATCATCCATTCTTCGAGTGCAGTCTGAGCTGCACCTACCGATAGAGATCGAACATCCAGGCACCATTCACCTTCGGTTTTGTTGTGTAGGCCTGGGTACAGTCCATATAAACTTCCCAAGTAGAGCAGCTCGTGAGCTCTCTTGGAAAGATTTTGGTTTCGACATATATCAATCAAGCAATTGCAGAAAGGTCGTCGGGCTTCGGTGGTGGTCTCCCCAAGTATGGTTCTGAATTCGTCTTTGATAACGTCGAAGGTAATGTCATTTTGTTGCAGTAGATTTACAAATTCAACTAACTTTGGGTTAGCTTGTTGTAGACAAGTGAATACCTTGCTAATATCTTCATTGTTGTCACATAAGGACACAACAGACAACAAGCAACCACAAAGCCTGTCATCTGGCTTAACTCCTTTACGTACAGAAACATCAAAAACTCGAACTAGATCATCTATCCTCCTAGCCTTCCCCAAGCATTGAATCAAACAAGTGCAACACATCACATTAATCCCAACACCCAACTCGAGCATTTCTTCAAACAACTCCATCGATCTTTTTACATTACCTCCGCTACCATGTATATTCAACATCGCCGTATAGCTCCAACTATCCGGTCTAGAATGCTCCGATTTCTTCATCTCTTCAAATAGCTTCTCAGCTTCCTCCTCCAAACCAAGATCTGCACACATATTCAACAATGTATTATACAAAATGAAATCCATCGGCCACCCTTTCGACCTCATCCGCTCCCACAAGTCCAAAGCATCCCGAGCCCACCTTGCCTTCCCATAAATCTTAACCAGAGCAGTTAACGTCTTCTCATTCGGCGTTATCCCTGATTCAATCATTTCCTCGAACAAGCTTCTCGCAAAACCAGGCCTCCCAGCCTTCCCCATTGCATCCAACATGGTGTTATACACCACAAGATTAGGCTGCACCTCAATAGACTTCATTTCTTGCAAAACATACATAATCCCATCATAATCCCCTGCCTCTCCGAACATCTTACCCAACACAGAAAACGTATAAGGATCAGGCTTCCAACCACTAGCCCTCCCTCTCTCATACAAACTAAGAGCCTCCTCAACCTTCCCCAAATTTGCATAAACATCTAAAATAGCAGAGTAAGTAACCTCATCAGGCATCAAACCAGTTCTATACATTCTCTCAAACCATTCCATTGCCTTATCAAACCTACTGCATTTCTTAGCACAAGTGATAATAGTAGAATAAGTAATGTTATCAAGCTCAATTCCAGTGTTAATCATCTCATTAGCTAGTTCTTCAATAAGCTGAAACTGCCTACCATACCTCAAAGACTTCATAGCCACATTGTAGAAGATAGTCTCCATAGGAAACAGATTCTGGGTCTTAATCCAATTGAAGAACAAATGGGTTTTCTGCCATGGCTTCAAGCTATTGAGAATGAGAAGGGCATTTTCTTTAGTGGGTGGATGAGGGATTTCCTTAAGAACCGCCATGAAAGCAGCTTCAGAGAAATCGGATGCATTGAGCTTGTGGGCAAAGGTTTTAAGCTCTCGCATCTTGGGGTTATAAGAGTAAGAAGAACGTTTTTGTCTCTGGAGTGACAGAACCGAGCGCTTGGGCTTGGTGGGATTCACCCAAATGGATTTAGGGTTCGATAAGAGATGGGATTCGTCGTTGGATGCATTGGAAAGCGTGCATGTGGAGAGGTCTTTGAGCTGCTCCGATAGAGATGAGTTCTTTTTGTCGGTGGATCGAGGGGATTTGGAGGAGGTACAGAGAACTGTTAATCGCTTGGTGAAATTGTTTCGCCGGAGAGGGGAAGTGAAGAACAAGGGCGGCGTTGGTTTGAGTTTGAGTCTGAGTTTGATATCGAGAGAGGAAGAAAGAGGAGCCGCCATGGGAGGAAGCTTAGTTCTTGGAGGAAGAAATATCGCAGATGGGTGATTCCAGTGCCTTATCCCATTCCCCAACACAAATATCAAAGGATCAACGGAGGAGCCTGATTGGCAGCGGCCGCCGAGAGTTCGGAGAAATTTGGTCCAAGTTTCAATATGTTTATAAATCACAAAATTTTAACAATAATTAAAAATGACATTTAATTTTGATAAATTATTTTTAGTATTTAATTGTTACAAATTTAAAAATTTAAAGCTTTACCATCTATCTTTAAATTAAATGATATTGGTGTGGCCATAATCATTGAAGATAGAAAAGGGAAAGTGGGTGAGTATAAAAATAATCCGTGTAGGCTTTCATAGCATCTTTTTCTTAATAAGTTTTTACGGGCTTGTCATAGGCTCTAAGAAGTTTAGGCCTAGTTGAGGTATCTTCAACCTAATACCACACACCGTGGTGGCATCTTTCATAAGCTAAACTATTTATGTAGTTCCTCATCTCCTCTCACGGTTGGTTCCCAACACATATAACAATATCTCTATATACTATCTATGTAATCCCTCGTCCACTCTCTGGACGGGTTTTTTCTACACACAATAGTATATTCTCAATCAGTTACATGTGTAGTCTCTCGTCCCCTCTCAGTCTACTTGTATGCTCTATGATATGCTATGTGTACGGTATGACATGATATGTTAGGAGACACGATATGCATATGATATGATACATATGACATGATAAGATGTATGATATGAATGACATGCAATAAAATGTTTCGACATGATACACAACCCCGAAATTACATGAAAAGTAGTGATAATGATATGATATGATATGAAGGAAAACACTAGACAGAATGTAATGCATGATAATGAAAAAGAAAAAATGTTGTCATGCATCATTGTGTGTTCATGCATCGAGGGATTCCTCTTTTTCATTTACGATGGTACGGGCACGTACACTGCGAGCCAGGAAAATGATTATTGTATTTATTATAATGCTGCGACGGTTTCTATTCCTAAATGAGTGTCCAACATCAACAACTACCAGAGAATGCTCGCCTGACAATAAAGGGGCCCAGAAGGTGTGCAATCGACTGGTGGGTTCATACTCGCACATGTGAACCGTGTGTAGAACAGTAAATACACATCCAATTACCCCATTAGGATAGCCGCCTAAGTATCAATCTTTTGAATGTTATTTACTTCTTCGGCACATTATAGGTATAAAGCTTCAAGGTGAGTTATTGTGCATACAATAGCAGTTTCTCGCGTAGTCTACTCGTGTAGTTTCTTGTCCCTTTTCAAGGCGTATTCCGTCCTACACGTAGTAGTGAGTCTCTGATTCAACTATTTATGTAGTCTCATCTCCTAGCAAGATGAGTTACATTCTACACACATTCTACACACGATAGTGACTCCTCAAGATGTTCTGTTCATGTAACCATCAGTCTCATAAGGTCTCATAATCTCACTTGAATGTCATGAGATATATTAGAAAGCGTATAATGTTAAAAACAAATTTACAGATGTATTCAATATTGGGTCAGTATGGGGTGTATGACCGTTCACCAAAATCATGTCTACATTTGAAATGGCTAAAATGCCCCAAAATGTAGTATAAGGGATATAACTAGTTGTCAACTTCTCCTTACCCGATAGTTATATGTTGTAAGCCGTTGTTATTGCCTTTTGCTTTCATCACATATAACACCAATTTCAGTCTCTCAAATCTTGCTTTCAAAACTTCGAAATCTCCTTGCCCCGTTTTATAAAACTTATTGAATCGGAGCCAAAGGATAGAACATACGTCGTTGCAGCAAATGTTTAAGCTTAATTTTAAAAAATAAAAACGAAAATTTTGAATCATCATACGACAAAGTCTTAATTAATGCATCACATGAATATTGTTAACAATATAATATGAAAATTTTTAAAAAAATAAAAATTTGCAATATAATTTTTTTTTTTTTTGAAGAACTACCTATGGCATTATTTTTTTATTTATTAAATTTGAGTAGTTTAGTATGTATGACATGTTTATTTTGCACGAAAAATTTCATTTAAACATTTTGTAACTGATGCTATATACTCAAACGTTCGTAAATTCATTTCAATAAAAGTCAATATCAACGAAACAGTAGAAATAAAATAACCATATGTTCAAAGTAACAAAAACGCTACGAGCTAACCTAAGGGCTACAATTTAAATATTAATGCAACTACCCTAGTTCGGTTTCATGACTTTTATGGCAATATTGTCATATGTACAGAGTGCCTTACTTTACCTGAAAAATAAAATAGCATGTGGCTTGAGTAAGCTCATTGTTGGGGTTGGGAAATGTAATCACATGCAATCGTGTAGGACCTTCCGTTCATAAAAACATCATGACATGACCTTGAGCTTCGTTTTTCAATTTGGGTAGGGTTCGATGTGTAGTATCTCCCTACACATGACTTATGATAACATAAATCCACATAATGACATAGTCATACCATAGCGCAATTTATAACCTAACATAATAATATAATAGAGCACATACAAAAAAAAAAAAAAAAAAAAAAAAAAAAAAAAAAAAAAAAAAAAAAAAAAAAAAAAAAAAAAAAAAAAAAAAAAAAAAAAAAAAAAAAAAAAAAAAAAAAAAAAAAAAAAATATTTGTAGCCTCTTGAGTTGTAATCAAATTGACTCCAATAATTATTGGGTAAAATTAATAACTTTAATAATGAGCATGAGCAAGGGTTGA